GGATTTTTTCTTTGGTTTTTAGATTATAGTAGAAAATAAGCTCTGTGACCAACAAAAGTTTATGATTCTTACACAAGTTTGTCAATATTCACAAATGAACAAATTTTTTATGAATTTTGAAGCCTAAATACATTCACCAAAAGTAAAAATGCTAAACATAGGCCATAAACAAACTACAATACAATTGCATGTTTTCAATGTCCCCACCGACAACTCTTTCAGTCTTTACTTAAACATATGTTCAAAGAAAATTTGAGTTGGAATTCTAGTTTGTAAGAGTGTGATTATAAACACAACGAAGCTGTGAAAGCGATTAGTGAGTAGATGAGTTTACCTGTTCACCATTATTACATTTAATGTCCCTGACAACTTCTGTAGTTTTATTTGGCCACTTGTTAAAAGTTGACTAAAAGTCAAAGTTAAACACTTGAATAATGAAACCACAGTTTCAGAGTATTCTGAGTATTGGGATTCAGAAACAGCTTACTCCTACACAGCTCATCTTTCTGTGGCTGAATAAATATGATTATGCTTATATTAACTGTTCAGCCTCCTGCACCTCTTATCACCTTCTTTTTGGATCATTAGTCATCAGATCCTCTACTGCAGGTGTCATGATGGTCGCAGCCATTTTAACTGCAAATTCAAGTGAGTTAAGTGCTGCTAAAAACAAGCTCTAACATATAATTTCATGTTTCAAGTTCATTTTGAAAGTGATGTCTGAGTGGGTGAGTTATTTACTCTGTAATTAGTCTATCCAGTTCCATGCATTCATGCTGATTTATGAACCATTTGTGAACATGAGAGGTGGGCATTATCTAACTGGCGTCATTGTTTATATTTATTAGTATGTAACATTGACAGGTTTAAAAATGCATTTTTGTATATTTGGGTAGATGCTGAAATGTAAAATATGGACGTATTGACAACATGTAAAATGTAAACATTTTTACGTATTTACAGCTAAAGATATTTAAAATATTTACAAATCTTTTATATTATATTTTTATAGTTGCACTTTTAATATTTTACATATACCTTACAGATACCTTTTAGATCCCTTAATCCTCCCCCAAACCTAAACTTAATTATTTTATATCTTTGTATAAATGTTTCTCAGAGACATGTCTCTTATCTTTCCATGATGCTATTGTGTTATCCGGAACTGTCCATGCTTGTTTTCCAATGCTGTTGTAAATATTTTGAAAGATATACCAATCGTACATTATATTATAGTCAAAAAAAAAAAATAAATAAAGTTTTGTTATGAGATTATGAGATTTTACTTTTGTGTATGTCACTCAGAAAAAAAAAAGAAAGAAAAAGAAAAAGAAAAAAAAAAAACTAAAAATGCCTTCAGGGCTGAAAGGATTAAGTTGTTAATTGCTGAAAATATGGAAGCTTGAATTTGTGTCTGTTCCTCACAATTGTATGGATTCTTAAGATTTGGATTACATCACACTAATAAAATGTGCTACTTTTGTGAATTTTTGTTGTGTTTTTAGTGTATTTAATAGATTTTTGTCAGTCACAACATGACTGAGAAAACGCCTTTTGTGCCCCTAACAAAATAAGTCTTACATGATAAGTAATGGCTAAACGATTTCAGAAATGTTATTCATTTTAAGCTTTTAAAATTAGTCTTAAAACTAGTCGTTATGTAATCCTTCAAAACGAGCTGGCAGGAGGTGTCACACGCAACTGAACAAAATATAATTTCATATTAAGTAAATGATTAAACTAAATGTAAACTAAAAAAAAAAAAAAGATCCATACACATTTGTACATTAGTAAAGTTGTTCATGCATGAATAATTACAATTTTAGATGCTGTCAATAACTTTTAAAAGTTTCAGTATCTGTGTAAACAAGAAAATGTACTTGTTGTAGAACCACAGTTTAAGCAGATTGCAATGCACTTAAAAATACATGAACATACTCTCATTCACAGTTATCAGCCAAACATAGCACAAAGGAGGCACTGCCATCTCTCACATGACTTTTCATCTGTATCACACCATTCCCCCTCACATTCACCCCACATTAGGAGCTCAAGGTTGAAATGAGACGCTGTCTCCCTCCAAATTGTCATCCATTTCGGTTTGAGACTAGAGTCAAACAAAGCAATCAATGGCCAATGTGTTGGATAATATCTACAGTATCTCAAAAGCATAATTTTCTGTTTGTGACAGACGTGCAACCGGATGCATCAGATCTGACAGGATTTCTAAAGGCCTTTTGTGCTTCACAAAAAAAGATGTTACACACATTACATTCGTTTAACTGTGTTATGGGTTTGTTTTGTTTTTTGCTTTAATCTGTGACTAGGTGGTATGAAATTGTTTCTGCACAGCATGACATTTATTTCATACCCTGACTTGACAGTAGAACTACAGTATGTGTCCTGTCGCGGCTTTGCTAAGCCAGACATCAAGTATTTTTAGGCATGTTGTACTATGTGGGATACCAGTGTAATTGGTCGACTGGAATAGTTTTATTTGGAGAACTGTCACACTGCTCGCACACTTCTCACACTTTGTGTCTTTATCATTTATCTATCTGTCTGTCTTTCTTGTCATTTTCTCTCATTATGCCCCATCAGATCATCAGAGAGAAGGCAGAACTTCACTTTTCCCCTATCCTTGCATATCTACAATATTTAATAACTAGATTTTCTGAAGAAAAAGGTGCTAGTTTGTGCCAAACTTGCTGGCTCAAGTCAGAGTCCTGCACCCTCAAGTCTATTATATAGTCTCTAAATATGGCTCAGGTCGCACCTTCAGTGTAAGTCCAGCCATCATGACACACGTTGTACTTTAAGAGCACTGAAGAAATGCTATAAAACCAGCTTGAGACCATCCTAATACACACAGTAGCAATCCACAGCTTTCTTCAACAAATGCCGCTGCCATGATGGCTCCCTACTTCCGTTTGCAGGTGTCCCATTCTGGTGTCAATAAAAGGTGATCAATAAACCACAAGTATAACTGATAACATACATATCTAATTCAGTTCAGCAAACATCTAAGTAATCAATCAATCAATCAATCAAATCAACCAATTTCCAAATATACTCAAAAATTGCAAATAACTTGCAAATATATTTTCTACCATATTTTCTTCTAACAGATTATTAGGTTGCATGTTTGTACTTGAACACTTGCAACACAGAAGAAAAATTAAAATAAAACTTGCAATAGTATTCAATTAAGCACTTTTTACAGATGTTTATTAAAAAAATGATCAACTCCCACCTCTACTGAATAAAACAACGGTAATGTAAAACACTTAGATATCAACAAGCAACTGCTGGAAACTGCTCTCAAAGTGGACAAAGGGGAAGGGTACATGAGTGTATGTGCCATGTGCTCAATAAAATAACATGGTGACCAGACCTGCGTGTACTAGTCAGGAATAATGTTTTAGGAAATAAGATGTGCACCATTTAGCTGAGTAGACAGAATCTTCTACTGCAGGAATGAGGGGTTCCCTTTCATGGGAACTTCAAACTGCGTCCTCTAGGGGTCGCTATGGGGAACGCCTCATCGTGACCCGTGTCTGAAGCTGTCCTTGTGGTAGTATTGAGCAGTGCTCCCCTTTATCAGAGGGTTACCTGCAAATGAGCAACGTTATTCCTCTGAATTCGGAGTTCTCCTCTCACATGAGAAGTTGAGTTCCAACGAGTTGGTGTTTTTTCAATGTATGCTTCAGACACGGGCCACGATGAGGCGTTCCCCATAGCGACCCCTAGAGGACGCAGTGTCTCGTTCCCTACTCAGGGAACTATGGTTACATAAGTAACCTGAGACAATTTTACATTTATTAGAAAACATGACACCACATTATAATAATGACAACGTCATTTCAAAGCTCTTGCATATGTCTGGACAATGCTGCTTTATAATTTGATTGTTTTTCTGAGAGAAAACCTCCTCTGCTCTATAGTCAGTGACCTTTCTAGAGGGCATTGATGTGTGTTTGCATGTGTGTGTTGCATACATGTGCAGCCTCACAGGGTTCAGCAATCTGGCCAGTTGACGACAGGTGCTTGCTGCCTCCCGGCCTGTTCAAGGACAGCTCTCCATCTCATTGTCAAGATGCACCTTAAATCTGGAGTCATGAGTTCAGATGAAAAGCAGGAAAGCATATGTAAAGCAAAATATTACACAATGTCCTTACCAGGGTCAGAGATTATAATTTTTTTCTTTCATTAAGGGGCAAACCAGGATATATATATATATATATATATATATATATATACACTGAACAAAAAGATAGAATAGAAAAAAAAGAATAGAACAAGCTAGTGTTAGAGGCTTTTGAGTTAGAGGATTTTTTTGCTTTTGTTAATTGTATAATAAATAAAAATAAAAGAAATACATAGAATGCAAAAAGATTAGAGAAGCTAGTGGTAGTTTTTTTTTTTTTTTTAAGGAAACAAGCAGTTAGTAAATAAATAGAGTGCAAGTCTAAAATGGGTACGTTTTCTTTTTTGTTTTTTTTTCTTATAAAGAATATAATTAGAATAGAGAGTGTTAGAGTTAGAGGGTCAAATAAAGATGGAAGAGATGTGTTTTTAGCCGATTCTTGAAGATGCTCAGATTGATTTGGGCAGGTCATTCCACCAGGAGGGAACATTTAATTTAAAAGTCAGTGAAAGTGATTTTGTGCCTCTTTGGGATGGCACAATAAAGCGACGTTCACTTTTAGAACGCAAGCTTCTAAAGGGCACATATATCTGAAGTAATTAATTTAGGTAAAGGGGTGCAGATATATGCATATATATTAATTGTTTCATTTTAACTCTATTCTGGTGACATACAGAGCCAAAATTATGAAAATTATGAAAATTGTGCCAGTGTCCAAATATATATCGATCAAACTGTAGCACAATGGAGGCACCACCGTCTATATATATATATATATATATATATAAAACATTTTTTTTTTTTTTTTTTCACGTTATTTTCTTATACCCTTTATAGTTAACAAACTGCAACATTAATTAACACCATTTTTGTGATTGCTACATTTTTTGCCACTAGGTGATAAAACATAACTGGCATGATGACTTTCTGCCAAGATCCAGTATTTATGTGTGAAAATGATGCTTTGACAGATTATGATTATGTGAGCTTTGCGTTCATACATAATTTATTGTGATGCTGTTCACTTCTCACACTTCCCTCAAAGGTAAACTTGTGGCATTGGCAGTAGTAGATGAGAAGAATCCGCCTGAAAAAAGCATTCGGTAAGCAACATCAGAAAATGTGTTTATTCTTTTTTTGTTTTTCATTATTTCCCACTCTAACGCTCAAAATTGATCCCTTTAGTTACAAAACTCTGATGGAAAGGCTGTCAACTGAATACAGAGATCATTACAAAAGGTAAGTAACAAATGTATATGGAACATGAAGAGAAGGTGCCAAATATCATATTATTTGTTAACAAAGAAAATATAGATTTTTTTTTTCTCCTAGTGATTACCAGTTTGGTTATATGGATGGTAATGAATATATCAACGGTTTAATTATGGGGTGAGTTGAATTGGACGCTCAGATTGATTTGGGCAGGTCATTCCACCAGGAGGGAACATTTAATTTAAAAGTCAGTGAAAGTGATTTTGTGCCTCTTTGGGATGGCACAATAAAGCGACGTTCACTTTTAGAACGCAAGCTTCTAAAGGGCACATATATCTGAAGTAATTAATTTAGGTAAAGGGGTGCAGATATATGCATATATATTAATTGTTTCATTTTAACTCTATTCTGGTGACATACAGAGCCAAAATTATGAAAATTATGAAAATTGTGCCAGTGTCCAAATATATATCGATCAAACTGTAGCACAATGGAGGCACCACCGTCTATATATATATATATATATATAAAAAATTATTATTTTTTTTTTTCAGTCTACACTGCAAAATGAATCTTACTTACATTTTTTATTTTGCTCTTTTTTATTTATGCTGATGAGAGCATTCACAATTGCAGATTCAGAATTCTGTGAGCGTGCACATTTAACAACTCCGGCGGACAAATCCAGACACCTCTGAATGGTCACTGTATTCATAATCTGAACAGAAATGTGTGTGATTGTGTCAGGCCTGTATTCCTGTCTTGTGTTGTGTTTTCCTCCCCCAAGTTTCTCCCTCATGTTTCCTTATGCCCATATTTGGTTATGTTCCTATCCTCATTGTTTCATTATGAGTTCATTAGTCTCCACCTCTGTTTGTTTAATTATCTAGTTTACTCCCTATTACTTAAGCCCTGTGTTGTTTCCAGTCTAGCGTCCGGTTTTAAACGTCGATGTTGTGTTTCCTGTGTGTCCCTGCCTGCCTTGATTTACCCCGTCTTAGATGATTAAAGACTTTGAGTTTATCCCACGTCTCCTCATTCTTTGTTTCGCCACAGAAGTCAGTAACTTTAAACTTCACTGCTAGTACTGGTTTGGACCCCTTTTGCTGTCAGTACTGCCTTAATCCTTCACAGCACAGATTCAACAAAGTGCTTTGAGGAAAACATTCCTCAAAGATTTTGGTCCATACTGAAATGATAACATTTGATGCAGGTTTGTAGGCTGCACATCCATGATGTGAATCTCCAGTTCCAACACAATCCAAAAGGTCCTCTGCTGGATTGAAATCTGGTGATTGTGGAGGTTATATGAGTAAAGTGAACTTACTGTCATGTTCAAGAAACCAGTTTGAGATGATATGAGCTTTGTGGCATAGGACATTATCCTGCTGGAATCAGCCATCCCAGGATGGGTACATTGTGGTCAGAAAGGGATAGATGTGGTCAGCAACAATATAGGCTGTGGCATTTAAACAATGCTCAATTGGTAGTAAGGGGCTCAAAGTGTGCCAATAAAATATAATTCACACCATTAGATCACCAGCAGCCTGAACTACTGATATAAGGCAGGATGGATCCAAGCTTCCATGTTGTTTATGTCAAATTCTGACCATATCATCTGAATGTTGCAGCAGAAACTGAGACTCATCAGACCAGCCAACCTTTTCCAATCTTCTATTGTCCAGTTCAGAAGAGCCCATGTAAACTGACTACACTATATGCACGGCTGCTTCCTGGTCTTAGATGAGCCAGCTCAGTAATTTCTGGTCAACTGTCAAAATCATCTGTGAAGATGTCTTTCTACACTCGCTGCTCATATTTACTTCATATTTCTTCAGACAGAATCATAATTTATATTCATTTTCCACTGATTTACGCGATCTGATGATAATTAGCCACTCCCTGGGCTGTCTCTGTGTGTTTAATCTTCCGTGCTCGCGCACTGACTGACAGTCGCCTTGTCGATCTTTTGCGTCTCATAACAAGCCCGTCTCATCCTGTCACGCGTTTCCTTCACTCTTCCGTGTTGATTTCTGACCACAGCAAACACAGAGAAACCTCTATACCAACGAAATATCCAAATAATAAACACACAATTATGATAGTATATGGTTTGTATGTGATTTTCTTGAGATTTGGGGTATTTTCATAACAATAATGAATGTGTACATCTGAAATGCTAATTTGTGCAGTGATATAAAAGGCTATAAATAGCATATTTTTACAACAGTAAACGACCAAATTCCACATGAGATCGCAAAAAAAAAAGAAGTTTTTAATATTTGTATTTTTGTTTTCATGTTTGAGCTTATATATCTTTGTTATCATAAGAGTAATTCTGATTCCTGAACAGTAATTTTTGAAGTGTCAGCTTTGTGAACATATGTTGATTATGTATCTAGTAAGAAAGACTCATGAGCAGCAACCTTTTTATTTTGGGTATGTAATTTGTGTCTCCATGCTGGAAATGGGGGGTGACAGCTAAGGGGTTAAGTTGTACATATCCAGTTATATTCATGACTATGACAGTAAGTTATCAAGAATATTTAGGGGGATGACATTATCAACAAATTTACTGTATACTCCATCAGCCTATGACTTAGGTGCTAAGTGTGCACTCTGAGACATGCAATGCACTTTACAGGGCACATCGTAATCCACAAGGAAGCCTCTTCTGACCATAATTGCCATATCTGGGCTAAGCAGAGTAAGAATACCTGACTCCACAAACATCTGTTTGTCATTTACTGACCCAGCAAAAACAGGGAAACAAAGGTTACAGCACCATGGAGGGCCATGCCAATCATTCCCTTCAGGGTACAGTGGGTTTGAATATACCTCACTCTGGAGTAAATGGAAGGTGGGTGTTAGAGACCTGAGGCCTGATGTATAAACATTGCGTACGCACAAAATGGGCATGGAAATGTGCGTACGAAATTTTACACGCACATATCGGGATTTATAAAAAATAAACAAGGCGTAAATATGTGCGCACCGTACGGACACTCTAGACCATGCGTACGCACTCTTTTAATCACAGCGAGGATTGCTTAGAGTATGACAATTCCGCTTTAAATTGTGTTCTAAATAGCAAAACTCATGTTCTGAGAAAATACTTTTGCACGAATAATGATCATTGATGTGAACTTGATTCATCTGATGGCTTTGGAACACAGATGGCAACAACAGACATAAGGATGCGCTCATTGTTCAAACAGTCCATTGGCTGGTTTGAACAGGTCCGATGACAGTAGA